ATCACCTCAACCACCATCGTCAAAAGCCCACAAACAATCCAGCTGGGATGGCCCCATTGTAGACCAAGTTGCTGCAGAGTGCCTGGGTGCTGCAACAACACAACACGACATTGCTCGCCTCACAGCAGTAGCAGCACCACATGCAGGGGATTTCCTGTTAGTAACCCCAATGTCGGCAACTGGCACGCGTCTCACACCACACGCCCTCCGAATTGCTGTGGCCCTCCGCCTTGCTGCCCCAATCCACACCAGATATAGGTGTATTTGCGGCGAGGTGGTGGCTGACAGGTACGGCCACCATGGCCTACTCTGCCAAAGCACAGGGGGATGACACTCAAGGCACAGTGAAGTTAACGACATCATCAAGAGGAGCCTCACCACAGCTGGATGCCCAGCTGAAAGAGAGCCCCGTTATCTAACGCCCCGTAACTCTGATGCTCATATTGGTCGCCCGGATGGTATCACAGTGAACCCCTGGAAGAATGGCAAGCAGTTGGTATGGGACTACACGTGCGAATCAACCCTGGCTAACACCTACGTTGACCTCAGTGTTGCACAACCAGGTGGCGCTGCCACTCACAGGGAAGCGGCCAAATCAGGGAGGAGCTGGAGGAACTCAACTTATGATAATCGTCTTTGTACCCAATATGTAACTCCTTTTTTGTAATACAGTTTAAATAAAATACATATAGGCGATTATGATGAGTATGGTGTAGTGGATACAAGTGCGTACCTGCCATCTTAATGGCCAGGGTTCGAGTCCCCTGGTGGGTATGAGCGTCTAAAGTTCTATACTTCAAAACTTGTGGTTTAAAGCAAGTCAGTATATATATATATATATATATATATATATATATATATATATATATATATATATATATATATATATATATATATATATATATATATATATATATATATATATATATATATATATATATATATATATATATATATATATATATATATATATATATATATATATATATATATATATATATATATATATATATATATATATATATATAGGTACCACCTCTGGTGCAATTGTAGGGACCCATAGTCTCGAAAAAGAAAATAAAGTGTATTCAGAGAAGACCTTGTAGATTCTCACTGAACACTTTAATATTTTCTTCTCCTACCACCCAATTTTTTGTAGGTATGGTATTTGTATTCACAAAAATAATCCAAAAGTCTACTTGAGTACAACAATGTTGTCAAAGTTTCCTCAATCGACTTCTTACATAACTAACAGTGCCGCAAAAGGGTAATTTGATGTATTTAATATACCTTTCTACTGTAGTAATCTTACAAGAAGGCTGAAACTTCTTATTTAAGAAATTCCTCATAAAAGTATATATCACATGAGCTGGTAACCATTATTTGACAAAAAAAAAATCACAAGGAAATTCATTTCTTGATGAAAGTTGGACCAATTTGAGCATAATACAATGGCTCTATTCAATAGTATTTAATGTTTTTTCTTAAAAATATCCTGATCAAATGAACACAAATTTAAGCCTAAACCTGTAAACGTTGGTTTTCTTTAAATTTTATTGTTAAAACCATTTATTTTACTCACTTTGATATAAAGAAATGCCCCCCCCCAAAAAAAAAAAAATGATTAATTACACACATTGCAGTGAAACGTATATTACAATGTTATGCATTAAGATTCTCTCTAAACTTATCAACGTGAGATTGGTCCTTGAATAACAAAGAAAAAAGAAGTTATCCACATATCTCCTATACATGACTGGTTTAAAAATTAGAGGACATTTGTCCAGCCAATTTCTCTCGTGAAAGTTTAACAAAGCATTATTAGCAAGTTTGGGCCCTAATGGAGAACTCGTTGCTACTCCATTAGTTTGTTTATATTATTTAGTATTAAATATAAAGACCGAGTCTTTAACCGACAATTATAAAAACCGTCTAAATTACTTACTGCTGAATCCTGAAACTAAATTAGTGTTAGCAAATAATTGATTGATACAAATTTCAAAACTTTTCCAACAAGGGAATAATCGCGAACAGTGACTCAACAGCAAGGCAAGTCGTTATAGTACGGGATATTAATGAAGAAGATCCAGTGAAGAATCAATCAAAAGAAAGAATCAGTGAAGAAAGAAAATCAAAAGAAAGAATCAATGAAATCCATATGTAAGAATCGAAAGAAATCAATGAAGAAATTTATTTTACAAAGTCCTGTGAGTTTCTTACAGTAAATTCATTGAAAGTTTGCGGTTAAAATAATGGAACTAATCTCGTCCAATGTTAATTTGTAGTTATCACTAGAAATAATATTTCTTAACCTATCTAATAAACTCCATGGTACCTACCTTACCCCCCTAAATGTCTACCCATGTCTTGCTATATTCAAACAATACTGTTTGTTGACCAACTTGTATAATTGCTGATTTCTGCCATGTTCCCCCTTTATTCTCCTTTTTTTCAACACAATTTATACTTTAATCTCAATTTAGTCTAAGTGTTTTTTCCCCTCACCTTGCCCGAAACGCTGTGCGTATTAGTAAATACGCACTTAGGTATTGTATGTACTAGTTCTATCTATAAATCCAACAGTATGTTTGTAACTCATCTATGTATGTACTTTTACCTGATTAAACATTTGATTTGATTTGAACCCGTCTTTACATCAAAACCATTTAACATGACTCTCACACCACAGGTCAACAACAGCTACTGGTGGTCACGTTGTTCATTGTTATGTCATGAGCCACAGTAAGGCTCTTGGAATAGAAATTTCCCTTATAAATCAATAAGCCACTTAGCCTCAAACTTAGTTGAGATATGTCTAGGGTTAGAGTGAAAGTCTAGGTAAAATCAACCAGTTTATTGGGGCGAACTTATCTACATTACACCTTTTTGTATAAACACAAATTTCTCTATATATACTCACAACCAAATATCAATTTAGTAAATTAACAGAAAGCACAAGTCATAGCAACTAGATGTCACTAAGCAGAAATCGCCTAATAACATTGGTACACTTGTCCACTCAAGACTGGCTGAAAGGATGTGAACACGGTGGGTACTGATGTTACATAACCAGAGTGGGGCATATGTCTCAGCATGAACATCAGTAACACAAGTCAGTGAACTATCACTTTGACTTCAGAAAAATTGGAAAGTCCCAACTGGACTGGCAATTGGCAAAGTCTAAACTCTTCTCAAATTAGTCAGAGTCCACAATGACTGGAATTATGTCAAAGTCAAGAACTCTATGTAAGTTAAAATGACTGGAAAATCTGGCAAAATCAGGAATCTCATCTCAAAAGTTTAATTCTACAAACCATGAAATTTGACTAAGTCCTGAATATCCTCTTTAGAGGTAAAGTCCGCACAGGCATCAGAATATGACAATGTCCCCAAACGGCTCAACTAATAATACAAGTCAACCATCACAAAGTTACAATTTAAGTATCTCTTGAGGGTAGAAATAGCCTAAGCTACTCTCGCCCTTTGAGATGCATTTCTTTCTTGTCTCAGTAAACATACTTGAACTTGATCTCGTGATAACACTTTGATATTGTGATCCACATAAATAATCTTCCTTCTTACATACTGGTAAGACGTTAATAGATTTATATATACAAAAATATCCAGAGAGCTCACACAACACGTGTGACCTACAACCCAGACAGACCAGTGCGGCAAAATGCTTGCTGACACCCTGGGGCCTGATTCACGAAGCAGTTACGCAAGTACTTACGAACCTGTACATCTTTTCTCAATCTTTGGCGGCTATAACAATAACAAATGTTGATTGGAAAGTTTTCATGCCTGTAAACTGTTAAATAAATGTAACCAAAGCCGTCAAAGATTGAGGAAAGATGTACACGTTCGTAAGTGCTTGCGTAACTGCTTCGTGACTCTGACCCCAAGTCAACTCACAGTACCAACACGCCACATAATATATAAATCAACACAGTAAAGAAACACACACTGAAAAACATACTCTTACATAAATATACACCTTAGAAACATACGTAGATGCTCAGCTTCACAAAGTGAGCACCATATAAATATGTATATATAAGAAACAAGAAACTTACCAACTTACCAACCGGGTTGGCTGTACTGACTGACAAACAGGCAAGGGAAGGAGGGGGGGGGGGGCGGGGTTATGACAGTAGCAACAACTTGCCGACGAAACTAGCAGTTCACACACAAACAAAACACACATCATGAATATATAACATAATAATAATAATAAAACTACAATAGAATATAGTAGAATACTGTAGAATACACGTACATACAAAGATATTTCACATACTGCATAATGAATTACATTATAATAGACGTATCTTGACAGTAATGCCAATCCTGATCTCAAAAGCTTCATAGAAGGTTGTAACAGAACCCATGAGCACCACACCAGAAATAAATACAGTTTTGATATTCCTAGAGTACGACTTAATCAAACCAGAAATGCTCTACAAATCAAGGGGCCCAGGATGTGGAACGACCTTCCCAACCATGTTAAAGACAGTACCTCTCTCAACCAGTTTAAGTTAAAAACGAAGCTATACCTAATAAATTCCATGTAACCTACCTTACCCTTCTATTGTCAACCCATGTATGTTTTTTGTTTTTTTTTTGTTTTACAAATCAACGCTGTTTTAATGTAATTTTCTGTAATAATTTATAATTGTATTTGTGCTGTTTTTTCAACAATGTTCCCCCCCTCTTTTACCTCTATTTTTATTTGTACTCAACGCATTTTTTTCTTTTTACCCATTAGTTTTAAGCTTTAGTCAGTAGTGTTTTTTCCTGCCCGAAACGCTTTGCGTAATAGTGGCTTTAGGCATTGTATGTACTAGCTCTATCTATAAAGCCAACAAACTTTGTAAAATCTCTTTATGTATGTACCTTTGCCTAAATAAAAATTATTATTATTATTATTATTATTACTTAAAGTATGACTTCAGCGTATTCAGTCTGAACTGGTTAGGCTAAGTCATAACATCCGTATTAATTAAGGTGGAGAAACACTGGGACATTTCCAAGCCTTTACGACGCCAGGACCGGAGGGAGAGCATCCTGTGGAAGCCGCTGGCTTACACGTGAGCACCAGTACTGAGCAGGTGTCGCGCCGAGCTCAGTACGGGTCCGTCTGGGACGCCGGGAGGTTGACAGCGGCAGGTTACGTTTCCCGTTTGATGACAAATTTAGGACATGAGGTTTCCCATGTTATTGTAACGTCGTGTGAAATCCTTATTCCGTTCAGTGAAGCTCTCGGAGGGTTTTTAATTTCGACGAAAAACGTTTTCTGTTGGTCTTGCACAGAACAGTTCCGTCTTAAGAGAACAGTACACCGATCTCCCCGAGGACAGGAGGTACCTCATCGCCCCGAGGACAGTAAGGAGAGTATATGTCTTGCATCACCAGCGAGAAATACCAATTCTCCAGGATAGTGACAGCCGGACGCGAAG